GATATAATTTTTATTGCCTTATATTAGAACAAAGCCATTTACTACCAGACATCGCTAAACTTTCATGTAACATACACTCTAGGCCTTTTCAAATTGCGAGCTACAGTTGTGATGAATGACAGTTCAAAAGTCCTTACCGGTAAAGCTGTGTTCACACTTGATGCCCGAGTATCAGTCATAGCGAAAATTATCATACCCTAATACACTCATCTGAAATTTGTCAAAGCCCATTTCTGATTTGTTATTCTAACTATGCCCTATCCAGAAGGTCGGATCAAAGAACCGACAAAATAAATATTCTTTCCACCTGAGAAGTCTTTCTAAACATTATAATTTAATTCTGTAAAGAGCATATCTAATAATAAAAACCCTTTCCGACGGTGTAAAGAAGCTTGGGCAAGTTTGCCTGACGTCCCAATTTTAGGCTACCTATGCTATGTCTTGATTGGACAATAGATTATTGGGATGTCACGCAAACATAAGTCCTTACGAGGAGCATTGCGTGACAACCAAGTACCCCAAATGCCTTTTACTTTAACGCAAGGTTTACAGTTTAAGAAAAGACTGCAAATTTGGTTAGCGAAAATTTCGCGGACAACTGTTTCGCGATACACGTTGATAATATTTGCCTTTCTTAATTTATAGATAAATTTTCGCGGAACTCGCAAAATTAACAAAAATAAAAACCGAGGTGAAACTTACACATTTTCCAAAACATAAAAGATCAGTATATACCATAAATTCCAGTATTTTGTTAACTTATTTATCCGTTAAGTAGCTATGCATCCTACTCTTTATTTCTCCATCACCGCCCTTTGGTTTCGAATTTTTCCAGAAGAGCGTTCACTCTCGCTTCAACTCGCTCACAGTTAGCTTCAATGACTGCCACGTTGGACGTGAAGCTGGCTTCCAGCTGAAAGGAAAAAAAAAATGATTCGCTTTAGCTTTAATGTATTTTTTTTAACCCCAAATAGATGCCCACCCAACGCGCTCTCTTCCAGTTCTCTGGAGGTTCGTTTCGCGCGTTCGACCATCTGAGATAAGAGAGCCGCAGTGACCTGGTGGTTAAAACGTTTATTGAGCAGTCTGGGTTTGAACCCTGCCCTGGGTCTTTCACACGTGTTCTTTGAAAGACACTTGACGCTCCCAGTGCATTAGCCTGTGCCACAGCTGCCCTGACAATCCAGTAATACAACTGGGTGCCGGCAACTGGACCCCGT